TTATAAACCTAGCATGACGTAAAGATGCCTGCGCTTCACACATTTCTTTACATGTGGGCATCTTCGGTTTGCCTATAAAGCACTAGAGTCAGGATTTCGAGGAGAAAGGAATGTAGTAGAATTTGAACTGTAATTTTTACATGAGTTTCACAATGGAACATTGTTTTCTGAGATTAATATATCGCTGAGTATCTGATTGAATAAACAACCCATATTTTACTTTTCTCTACTTACAGTTTGCCATTTGCTCATTTTTTCATATTTCCAATTAGTATTTCCGTTTAATGTTCCAGTGTTTTCACAGAATACTTGATAGTGAAATACAGACTAGACTTGAATGTGATATAATAACTTAATGGATTTATGAGAAAGCATAATTTTATTTTATAGCCATAATAAATTGCTTACATAGAATCATAGACATGAATCTATAATTTGGGAGGAATATAATAAAAGAGAGAAAGCAACAAACAAATGCTGAAATGAGGCTTTCTAATTGTGTCATTCTTACTATTATCTGTTTAAGGTTAGCCTATGGCTGGATAATGAAAGTGTCTCTCCACAGAAACTTGAGTTTTCACAGAGGAAAGATGTTTATTTATGCTTAGTAAGTTATAAATTGAGTGCTATAGCTGGAGAAATCTAGATGAGAATACACTAGCCCTTCAGTGATGAGAAGATGATTCCCAGAGAAACGAGGTTACGTATATTCATTATTTTAAAATTCTGGCTTCTGTATCATCATCACTCGGTTACAATTACTGCCTTAATTTTTGGAGATACTAATGCATAGGTGATTCTTAGGAAACCCTGGCCCCACGCCCAATGACCTTGTCCTGGAGTCCCCCGAGCTCCTTATTCTCATGTTTATACCCCACCTCTGGTCTCACGTAAACGGCAACCTCTCCATGATTTCACTTTCCTGCACCTCACTCGTGCTGATTACAATCTTGTCATCTTTTCAGTATCCCTCCTTTTGTTCACTAACTTCACCAGTGACTCCCCGGGGATTTCCAATCAACTGATCCTACCACGTCTCACTGTTCCTCACCCAACTCTACATGTTTCTCCCTTCCCTCCTGAATGAGCTAAATCCCTGTCATGACTGCTTGCATTTTACTCTTGTGTATACCCCCGGGTCCCTTGCTCCGTTCTCGCTTCATTGTACTCACTTGATGAAATCACAGGCATGGTAACATTTCAGTCTTCACTTCTTCCATCCCAGCGCTGAATGGACCAGGAGACAAACATATCACATGTTGGTACGATTCACTTTACGTTCATGACCGTCAACCTCAAGGGAACATTTCATGCTCCTGGCAATTATTCTATATTTCTCTGGTCCATTTACTCTTTCAGTTCTTAGGTGAAAATTATATACCTCTTATTGTCAGAACTACCATACCACCTGCCATCCTTTCTCTTCACTCGTGACCTCGATATACATTTGTAGTTCACTGAAAAAATTAAACCAGAGAGAAAGGAAGTTCATAACCCCCTGTCATCACTCTCCCCAAACATAGCATTTTGTACCTACCTAATACCTATTGACTCTGCTTTTACTTGGATCATACTTTCTTCTTGTCTTTATTTCTTTGTTTGTTTAATTTCAGATTAATGTGAGGGTACAATTAGTTTACAATGTTTGCATTGTTAGGTAGAGTCCCCATTGTAGTTGTGTCCCGAGGTGTGCCACATACCCTGGACATTGTGTCCATTAATTGGGAGCACACCCACCCTTCCACCACCACCCCCCATACCTACACCTCTTTCCTTCTGGCTTCTTCCTTTCCCCTTTCCCCATCTTGAATTGAGTTTTTCTCTTGTCTGGGCTTATATTAGATCATCCACTGGCCTCATATTAGTATTGAGTACATTGAATACTTGATTTTCCAGTCTTGTGATACTTTATTAGGTAGAATGTGTTTCAGCTCCATCCAGGTTAATATAAAAAATGAAAGTCTCCATCTTTTTATAGCTGAATAGTATTCCATGGCGTACATATACAGAGTTTATTAACCTACTCCTGGGTTGCTGGGCATTGAGGTTGTTCTCACATCTTGGCAATTGTAAATTGACCTGTGTCTTCTCATCTTTAATAGCACCTCTCTACCAAATCATTCCCATTAGCACACAGGATGTTATCATCTTTCCAACCCTGATTTTTCAATGAACAACTTCTCTAGACCCCAGCTTGCCCCCCAAGTACTGCTGTCTCTTTCTCCTTATGGCACAACCTAACAGAGGGTAGAGTCTCTTAGACTCTCAACCCCATTTCTCTGCTGAAGTTGCTCTTAGTGAAGTGACCACTAATGTCCATATGCCAAATCCAAGGACCAAGTCTTAGTCCTCATCTTATTTCACTTCTTAGCGGCCATTTGTCCTCTTCTAAGAGAGAGAATGTCTTCCCTGGTGCTATGGTTTGAATATGGTTAATATGGGTTTTTTTGGCCGTATCAATTCTCATGTTGAAAACGGATCACAAATGTTGGAGGTGGGACCAGGTGGGAGGTTTGGGGGTTGTGAGGGCAGATCCCTCATGAATGTCTTGGCGCCATTCTTGTAGGAGTGAGTGAATTCTCTTTGTTCCCTGAGAATTGATTGTTGAAAAGAGGTTGACACATCTTTCTCTCTTGCTTCTACTGTCACCATGTCACCTGTACACACTGGCTTCCTCACCTTCTGTGTTAGTGGAAGTGGCCTGCAGCCCTCAGCAGCAGCAGATGCTGAGGCCATGCTGCTTGCATCGCCTGCAGAACCAGGAGTCAAATAAACCTCTTGTCTTCATAAATTTCCCAGCCAGCCTCACATGTTTCTTGTGGCTGAGGCATTGGTTTACAGGCACTATATTCCATTGGCTTTTCTCAAACTACACTTTGTTTCTTCTTCATCTGCTTTTCTAGTTATAATTTTTATCCATGACTTCTTATGATTGAAATGATCCAGATTCTGTCCCTAGAGTTCTTTGCCTATAAAGGCACCCTTGGTGATTTGATACTGTCTCATGGCTTTAAATTTCATCTACATACTGAATGTGATGAAATACATAAAAAGGTCTTTTACTGTTTTAGTCTTCTCCTGTGTACTCTGGACTCGAGTATCCAACTGCGTGCACAATCTTTCCACTTGAATATCTCATAGCCACTTCCAACCTATCATATCCAAAACTGAACTCCAGATATCACCCTCAAAATTTGTACCCTTCAAAAACACTTTCCCTGAGATTTGTCCATTCAGGTTCATGATAATTTCATCCTTCTACTTGCATAAGCCTGAAATCTTAGAATATTCATGAGTCCTTCCTTTCTCTCACACCTCATACCCAATTCATTATTCTGTTGGGTCCAGAGATATCATTGGCTTTCTGAATTCAGAAACTTGTAGTACATATGAACCAACTTTTGGGGATATTTCCCAGTATTTGAACTCTTGCTATATTCTCTCATAGATTCAGAGACTAAATAAATCCAGCAACACACATAGATATCCTCGGGTAATTGCATTTTCAAAATATAATCAGAATGTAGTCAGCTTTCTTTCTCCTACTTTTGTCTGTTTATTAACTAGTGTATTCCCAATGTATGGTTGGGGATCACAACATTTGTGATCAGATTTCAACATGAGACTTGATAGGGCCAAAGAAACCACTCAATAAATATGTGTAAAATTAAATTAATATAATGGATGAAGCATAGTAATGAAAATCACAATGAGGAAAGAACTTAATAATTTTTCAGGTGGAAACAGTAGACAGCCAGGAATGATACCTGTGGATTTGGAGGGCATTCAGAAAGTAATTATGACTTCGAGTGAATAACACTTGACCATTTGGAATAGAAAATAGACTACAGTTTCGGTTAGACAATCATTGAACA